CAGATTTTGAATATATTGGGTGGGTTATTTTTTTCAGAATTGTGGGGATGTAATTGAGGGGGGGGGTTGGAATATGGTGGAGGGGTGGAAAAGTGGGAGCGCTCATCACATGGGTGATGGCACGGAGGAGAAACCCCTCTGGTGCGTGGCGCGGGTTTGGGGAGGGCAGGCAGGGCTGGGCTTCGGCGTGAACTGCCGGGCGTGAAGCGCTGCGTGCTCTACGCGCCCCCACCTCAAAGCCGGGCGCAGGCTGCCAGCCGCGGCCTGGCTCGGCGAGAAGGGCGGCTCGCCCCCCGCTCGGTTCCCGCTGCACTCACGCGTGTGCGGGGTCACCGTGGACGCCCCCACGCCGCGCATCCCCCCTCCGAGAGGGGTGCAGAGCGGGGCGTCGGTGCAAAGGGCGGTCATCCCGCTCGGGGGGAACATCCAGCGCCCTCCCCCCGAGGCATTCCCCCCTCCGCACGGCCCCGGGACTCACCCCGTGGCGTGACCCGGCCCCTCCGGTCCCCGGCGGGTGGCGGCGGCCGCCCGCCCGCCCGGTGCTGCTCCTGCCGCAGCGACCGCGCTCTCGCGAGACTGCAGCGCCGCCGCCGCCCGGGCTATGGGCAGCGCCGAGATCTCGCGAGAGCACCCGCCGACGCTGTCCAGGGTCCTGATGCCGCCGGCCGGAGGGGCGGGGCCAAGGGGAAGGGGCGGGGCCTCGCGGGGGCTCTGTAGGAATGGGGGCTCTATGGGGCAGGGGTGCACTGACCCCTACTCGGCACATGGCAAGCTCCGCGTGGGTAGAAGACCAGCCTCTGTGGGGCAGGGGCTCTGGGGGACAGCCCCTGGCAGGGCACGCAGGCTCTCTGTACCCAGGAGGCAATGGAAAGCCAGCAGGTCCCACCGGCAGGGACAGATTCGGGTCACCGCGTGTCCACGCCCTGCTTCTCATCCTGTGCTTCACTCTGGGAGCAGTGATTGATTAATGGCTTCGCTGCATGAGGGGCAGTGGATATGTTGATTGCTTTTGCCGGCAGTGTCAAGGTCGGGATGCAGAGGGCAGGGGAAGGGACTGGATTGATTCACAGGTGGACTAGGACAGGGATCAAAAACTCCTAAAGAGGATATAAATCCCAAATCAGCCTGAGGACTCCACAGGCAGTGTCCATTGTCCTCAGTGTCATCACACGGAGCTCTGTGCACACCACTTGGACCTCCTGCCTCAGTGCTTGTGAGAATATCAGTGCAGTGGCATGAAAATGGCTTTATTTGACAACTAAATTGTCCTCCCTTCCCAGGGTCCAACCTCGAGAGTCACAGAGGGGCAACAAAGACAACATCCCACTACAGGAAGATGTGAAGAGCAGGGCAAGGAAGCGGCAAAATCTCTTTACACCGGGGAACCCTGGTCGCCAAACACCCACAGCAGGGGAACACCTTTGCTGTGGACGTGCAAGGAAGGAAATCTGGCAGAAACAGGGAAAATGCCTGCTTCACAGATGGCAAAATGGAGGGAAGCAGGAAAACAAGTGTGCCACAGATGACCCTGTAGCAGGGGGCCCAGCTGTCCACTCTGACCTCCTTCTGGGTCTTGGACCCTGAGCTGTTCCCTGCAGAGAGTGGGGACCCCCATGCATCCAGCTCCACCCCCTGCCTGGCAGAAGGGAAGGAAAGGGAGAAGGGAATGGGGTCATAGATCCCCACTCTTGCCAAGCACCACTACTTGCCCACATGTGAGACCTCACAGGGATGCTCCAAGCCTTGCAGAGCCACCCTGGCCGAGCACCCTGGGGATTTAGGGCTTATTTCTTGTCCCTTATTTATTGTTTCTTGAGCTTTCTCTCACCTAAATTCCCCCTCTCCCTGCTTCTCTTCTGCCTCAGGCCACCCAGTGCTTTTCCATCCCATTGAGGCTTTGGGAATGTCCAGTTGCAGAGCTACTCCTTGCCCTCAGCATCACCACATTCCTGTCTGCCCACAGGTTTTCCAAGCAGGGGTATTCAGGATTCAAACAGACGTGTGCTCCCCTCACTCACAGGGAACGCCTGGGGAGCCAAGGGGATAACAGAGGGGCAGGGGAAGAGCCTCCCTGCTCATCCCACACTACCTGAGCAGGGCAGGCTGGGAAGGATCCAACCAAGAGTCTGGATCAAGCAGCAAATTCCCAGCAAACAAACAGGTTCAAAGCCACTGAACTCAAGCCACTGGAGTCAATCCACAGGTCCAGTCTAGGGTCAGTCTCTGGATCAGAGTCTAGCAGACCAGCTGCAGCTGACCCAGCACAGCTCAGACTAGGACTGAGATCCCTGGGCTGAGCCTAAATAGAGTTCCTGTGCCACAGGCAGGATGTGGGTGGGAGTCCCCGGTGTGGCTGGTGCAGCCCATTCATGTTTATTAATGCTCTCAGGGTCCTTATGACATTTCTCTGCTCATCATGCTGAAGCTCTGCAAAGGGATTTGTCTTATAAAAGGGATTTTCCCGTTTTCTTTTACTGTCAAGCTCTTAAAATGAGAATTATCTTGAGCTCTGTAATTTTCTGCTTACTACAGGGATAAGGGCTCAGTTAGCAGGGAGCTGGTGCCAACTTAGGATGCTCCAAAGGTTCCTCTAGCATCTTGAGACAGCCCCTGCACCCTGGGAAGACTGGGGTGCACCCTCAGGGAGCTGCTCCTGTGAAACAGCAGCTCCAGGGTGCTGGTTAGGATTGGGGCAGGGAATCCCTGTAACTGTGACATCTCGGGGGTCCATCTGTACCCCCTTTCCCGGGGTTACAATCAGCTCTGGCATCAGCCTGCTGCTGAGTGCAACGTGATGAGAGGCTGAGACCTGAGCTGGGCAGATATGACGCAGAGATGGACGGTGGCACTGAGACTTTCCTTGTATCAGATGCTTCCACTTTCCATCCTGCTCCTGTGCATGGCCACCTTGGATGAAAGAAAATATAGAGAGGGCAGGTGGAGGACAGGGTCTCGAGTTACTGTTCCTCTCCAGCTGCCCTGATCTCCATCAGGAATATGTTTCTGGGGTTTTTTTCCCACTTTTCCAGTTTTGGCTAGTCTCTGTGCTGTCTCCTGCAGCCCTCTTCATCCCTGCCACCACCAGCTCTCTTCTTGGCTCCTCTCCCAAATGGCCGTTCCAAGCTCACACCTCCTATGGGGTTGAGACCAGGCAAGAGGATGCTGCAGGGATTTGGACCCCTCCTGGGATGGGGTTGGGATGGCACTGGGATACAGGATGCTCAGAGAGAAACTGTAATGGGGAAAGGGAGGAAGAAACCACTCCTTGGGTCCCAGAGTGACCAGCGTGGCTGCTCAGGAAGGACAGATGGACAATACTCAGGATGTAATTCCTTTACTCCTATTTTTTTTTCACCATTCCTGCCTTTCCTATTTGCCTCTTCTCCATTTGAAAGGACTCCCCATCCTCTTTCCCAGCTGTTTTCCCTGATCCCCCATGGCTGGAGTTGTCTGTGCCTTTGTCCTCCTCTCCCTGCTTTTCCTCTCCCACCCCACTGAGCTCATTTCAGCTATTCCATCACTTGGAATAACCCATTCACTCTGTTGTCCTCCAACAAATAAGCTGACAGGCTAATGAATGGCTTCAGATGGTAATTAGCAGTGGAGTTGCTAATAATGAATTTCATTTACATTTTAAGCACTGCAGAGGAAAAATAAGACCGTCATTAATGTGATGCAGCCTTGGCTTTGGGGGGAGTGTACCCTCCTGAAGCCTTTCTGTGATTGCACCTCACCTGCCTCCTTTTGGAGGCTGCAATAGGCAGAGTTCAGTAAGCAGCAGTTAGAGGCCATGGAAGAGAAGCTGCTGCTGCTTCCATCACCCAGTGGTGGGGAAGGTGCCACGAGGCCATGGAAAATGGGCCATGGGAGGCAGGAGATGGTTCTGGGCCAGGAAAGAAGGGCTGGATGGTTCAGTGAGCACCAGGGTTTCATCTGGCTTGGCCAGAGCCCTGGAGTTCTCAGGCCTCAGTGTCCATGTAACCCTCCCAGGTTACCTGGATAATTACCTTGAGGGATTTCTCAGTCACTGAAATATTCCCTCATTATTTTCCCAGGGATTTAGCACCTTTTGAAGGCAGCAATTTCCCTGAGGGCTTTAATCCATCCCTGCCTGCCTGAGAAAGGAACCAAGTGCCATCTGCAAGGATGCCATAAAGAGTTACCAAGCGGAAAGGGGGGGAAATGCCATTCTTTTGTCTCATAGGAGCGAGGGATCCATGGTGGAAGCACAGGGAATAGGCATGCTCACTACTGCAGAGCACCAGAGAGGACTTGGGGATGCTCAAAGCCTGGATCTGGTGCTGGGGGTGGGCCTGGGAGGATTGCCTGCCCTGCCTCAGTTTCCCTCTCTGTGCCCAAGGGGCCTCAGGGAGTGTGAGAAAAGATGTTCCGCATCCCCTGGGGTGTTCCAGCACACTGCTCATAGATTCCATCCCATCCCACTGCCTGCAGACCCCCCCCAGACCCCAATCCAGTGATTGGATCAGGGGGTGTCCCATATCCACCACCATTTAGGCAGTGATACCCACAGAAAGCTGGTTTGGGGACCACAGGGATGTGAGATTCATCCTGGACGGGTGGTGATGGCCACATCCTGCCATCACCTCCACAGGCATGGGATCGATTGATTTATTTATGTATTTTTTCAAGCCCTGCTCCGAGTGAAACCAATCCAGGGGCCTGCCTGGGCCGATAAGATTTGACTGCAAGTCAATACTCGGCGTGTCTTTCCACTGTGCAATGATCCCCCCGGCCAGTGGGGTGGGAGGGGACAGGCAGGTGACAGGGCCAGGCAAAGGGCCAGCCTGGGGCAGGGACATTGCCACTCCCTGGGAAAGGATTGGGGGCAGGAAGGGGACACCCCTGGCCTGCAATAGGGATCTCCTGGGATTTACTAAGAGCAAATGTACTGGTGAGCCCACAGCTGGCAGCTCCGCGTCAGGGATGCGGAGATGGCAAGGCTCAGGGATTGGGAGAGCAGCAGGGAGAGGAAGGGAAGGAGAAGGAGAGGGAGAGAGAGAGAAATCACCCATGAAAACCAGCTCTGCCACAGCATCTGCTCCTCGGAGCTTTGGGAATTGAGACATTTTCCTGCAGGGCAGAGCCAGGGCTGAGGATGTGGGGTGTCGGGGGGGGAGCAGAGCCCTGGCACACTTGATGCATGCCTGGCTGCAATGCCATCTGCCCAGCTTTTTCCTGGCTGCAGGTCCTAGTAGCTTCTCTGATGGCTAATAAGGGTTGAGCTCAGGCTCCAAAGTACTTCCCGCAGTCCCTGCTGCATCTTTGTGCCATGTCTGAGCACAGTGTGGCCAGGATTCCTCATCCTTCTGGGAATGCTGCAGGGCAGGCGGGCAGGCAGGCAGGCAGGGTGACTTTTGCTGTTAGCAGTGGGTGTCCTTAAGAGGAGCAAGCACAGAGAGAAGGGACTAGGTTCTCTTTAAGGGGGCAGGACTTTGGGAGCATCATGAAGGCAAGAGTGAGTTTCTGCCTCTGCCTTCCACCTTCCTCTCCTTCCTTTCCCTTCATTTCCCTGTTTCTGGACGGGGAGCTGGGTTCCCTGCCCTCCCCTTTGCCTGTCAGGTATGAAGACAGGAGCTGGGTGCTGGGATGGGTGGTTGAGCAGGGGAGGAGAAGGAGGAGGGGAGGAAGGGGAGGGAGAAGGGGAGGATCTGCTAATTACACAGAACAGCTCTGGGGGCTGCTGAAGTCCAGAATGAAGCAAAGAGCAGCAGAAGCGAGTACTGCAGTGGGAGCGGAGGAGCCCAAGCATCACCGAGAGCTGGAGCCAGCTGTCATCCCTGCTGGGAGCAACTGGGAGCACCCAGAGGATCCTGCAGCCCTGTTTCTCACAGAGGACACCCTCTGGCACAGCCACTGAGCCTGCTACCAGCCCCTGCAGAGCAGAGGGGAAGGGGCTGGTGGTTGTGGGGATGCAGGGCTGGGCTGGAGGGCAGTGAGGTCAGCCCTGCCATGGTTCCACGGTGCTGGGAGACTGTGTGGATCCACCGGTAAGGGGTGAAGGATGGCTGCTGAAGGAGGGAGAACCAAGCCCGCTGCCCAGTCTGGGATGGAGAACTTCCGAAAGGTGAGGACATCGGAGGAAGAGATGCCATTGCCCTTCCCTGACCTGTCCCCGGACGTGGTGGAGATGAAAGTGAAGGAGGGCAGCAAGATCAGGAACCTGATGAACTTCGCCATGGCCCAGATGGAGCTGAAGGGCAGCCGGCAGATCGTCTTCAGTGGCTCTGGCAGGGCAGTCACCAAGACCATCACCTGTGTGGAGATCATGAAACGCAAGCTGGGAGGGCTCCACCAGGTCACCAAGGTACGCTACAAAACTGTGCTGGAGGTCTGGGAGAACCAGGACCTGCTGCCCGACAGCCCAGCGCAGAACCTGACCGTCCACAAAAACGTCCCCTCCATCTGCATCCTGCTCTCCCGAGACCCACTGGATCCCAACCAGACGGGCTACCAACCTCCAGAACCCCAGCACGGGCTCGGTGAGGCAGGAGAAGACACACTGGGATCCTCCACCAAGGGGCTGAAGCGGCCGCTGCCACCTCCCCACGAGGAGCTGCTTCCCAAGAAGCTGCAGGTACAGGTGCCTGACAGTCCGAGGGGCTCAGGGACCACCGCTGGCCAGCCGGACCACTGACCACAGTGCTTCCCACCCCGATCAGACAGGTGGAGAGGCAGAAATATACACTGATTCTGGGGTCACCAGTGGGCTGCAGGCTCTCCCTGACATGTCCCCACTTGCTGCCGCTGCTCCATCTGATCCCCACAGGTGGGAGGTCTCCAGATTTGGGGTGAGGGTTAAAGTGTTAAACCCACCAGCTCTTGGGTATGGATTGAAGCAGGGGAGGGTGTGGGGGGGGAGCTGGTGGCCCCTAATTCAGCCACCCAGGGACACCACGACCACCAGCCACATCTTGCAGCAACTCCCACGGAGCCAGAGGTGGGGTGCCTGGACCAACACCAGCACTGCTCCCCACTGCAACGCCTCATCTGTCAGGAGAGATGGTTTTGCCCCAAGCCCATTGGAATAAAACCTTCATTACCAAACCCACTGCTGAGGAGCTGTCAGGGTTATTAATGCTGGGCTCAGTGTCCTCTGGGGCCATGATTCATCCCAAAAAAACACCCAAACAAGCAGGGGGTCGCTCCCTCCCTGCGCCTGCAGAGCCAAGTGCTGTGCTGTGCCATGCTGTGCAGCCTGTAGGACAGCACAAGGAAATAAAGCAACCTGCATTGCATTTTCCAGTCTTTGCTCTCCCCGAGGGTCTGGAGCTGGGGAGCTGGGGGCAATGGGGGTGTTGGGTGGGTGGTTGTCATGGTTGGATGCAGTGCCCAGGGCAGGACAGGGAGGTTTTGGGATCGTAGCTTGGCTGCAGAGCCTGGGAAAGCCCTTGGAAGCAAAATCCCTTCTTCTTCCAGGAGGCAAAGGGAAATGAATGAAAAATAAAAGCTCTTTGAAACAGTTGAGATATGTCTATGGGAAAACAGGGGGATCGTCTTGGCTGCTGAACACAGCATGGATCAGCACAGTGAGGGCTGCTGCTGAGCCAGGACAAGGGGAACCCAGACAAATCCTGTCCCTTGGAAGAATGGCATCAGGGTCTGCTGTGTGCCCTAGTCCGTGCTGGCATGGCAACGCCTGGCAAAGCCCCCATTCCAGACCCCGCAGCAGGGACCAGGGCGATTTGGGTAATAGGGATGCCAAACAAGCTCTAATCCACCTGGTTCCCCTTGGCCCAGCACCTGGGGGCACTGCACGATGAATTAATTGGTATTAGTGAGTGAAACCTTCCCAAAATCCATCCGTGGGGATGCTACGGCTGAAGCTGCCTTATCTCCCTGCCTCACTCCCGCTATCTCGGCACAGCGAGCATCCCCTCTTTATCAAGGGCTTGCTTTGCTGGGAATAGGAAATAAAGAAGAGGAGGAGGAGGAGGAAGAAGCAGGGTCTGTTTTGTCTGGCAATGACCTTGCTATCTCCCTCAGCAGGCAGCTGCTCCTTGGGCCAGAGGCTCTTGCTTATCTGCTCTGCTGCAGATTGATTCCCTTCACTTGAACATTAATTTCCACTGTATTTTTTTTAACGATTATTTTTTGTGGTTTGGGGGCTGGGAAAGCTTTGGGCTCTGTCCCATCCAGCTCTTCCCAGCTCCTCTCCTCAGCGCAGACCCCATTCAGGTTGAACCCTCCACCCCACATGAGAGCACCAGGTACAGGCTCCTACCCCCAATGCACAAGAAATAATGAATAAAATTAATTAATAAACTCCTCTGATCAGAGCCTAAAGACTGTGGGAGCCATAGAGTTGAGCACTAACAGCCCTTCATCTCCACTGCTGCTGTCTCAATTGGCCCCACCGAGAGGAGAAAAAATTAAAAATCACTAGTTTCTCATTATCTTGTGCCTGTGCAAAATTATTTTATTTGATTTTATAAGCAGGTAGTTTCCAGTCTTGGAGGCAACACTTGGAGACCACTCCTGGAATTTTGCACTCCTCGCTTTGCTGGCTGTGCACTGAGGTTTTCCTGCACGAGAACATTAAAAAAAAAGTAATAAAATATGACTGGAACCCAAAAAATGGAACATTTAAACCAGGATGATGATACTGGAGGACATTGCGAGTGGAATTATCACGATGGTTTTGTGTGGCACTGCTGAGGCACAGCCCCAAGGACGGTTTTGGGAGTGATTCTGTGCCCGTGCAGTGGCTGGCACGGTGCGATGGTATCTGAGGGCAGCACCCCACGGTGTGGGGACAGGACACAACCATGAGTGCCAGAGAGCCTGGGGAACTGCTGGGTGCGGCAGCAGAGCCGGGCTGAGCCCATTCCCCTCACACCGATGGAGTCGGGCGGGTGACCATTGACAGGGACGGGGAGGCTGCACTGGGCCATGACTGCGCGGGCTCGGCTAAGAGGCAGCAATAGCAGCCCAAAGCCACCACAAAAGAGCCTAAACCCCTCAAAACCGACTCTAAATACCCCCTTGAGGGGAGGCTCAATGAGGAGGGAGAGGTCCGGCGGCCACGCCCTTCACGCACAAAATGGCGGCCGGCCCCGCCCCAAGATGGCGGCGGGTCCCGCCCCACCGCGCCCCCAGCCCATTGCCGCGGCCTCCCGCGCTCCGTACCCGCCGCGCGGCTGTACCCGCCTGCGCCAGTCTCCGCCTTCCCTCATCTCCGTCCTTCTCTCCCGGTGCGGTGCGGGACCCAGCGGCGTGCCCCCGGTGCAGCCTCCCGCCCTCCCTCACACCCCGCCGCCATGCTGGCCGCCACCGCCTCTCTCCTCCGCCGCTGCGCTGTCTCCGGCCTTCGCACCGCCGTCCGCCGGCCCGCCGGCCCCGCAGGTGAGCGGCCGCACGCCTCTGACTCTCCCGCCCCCGTTCGCCCTCGGGATCCCGGCCCGGCGGGGTGTGAGGTGGCGGAGCCCGGCGTGTCCTTGCGGTGACCCCGCGGCCTAGTGCGGGCCGCCCCCGCCTGTCCCTCCGCCGCCAGCGGGACCCCCCCGCCGGTACGGCCTCACATGGGGCCCGGGCACCTCCCCGGGGGCTGCAGCGGGGAGCGGTGGCGGCGCTTTCCCCGCGCCCCCCGCCAAGGTGACATTGATGAAGGGCGGCGGTGACCTCCGCAGCACCGGGGCGCTGACCGCCCCCGGGCCCCCTCCAGCTCCGGGCCGGCCGTCACCGCGCTAATTAACACCCCGATTAGTTATAATATTAACACCTCATTAACACACTAGTTAATAGGGAGAAGAGGAATAGCAGCCGCAGACAGTACGGTGTGACGGTGGCCAGGGCGGCAGAGCTGGAATACAGAGACTGCGGAGAACACAGGATGCCTGTGCATCGCAATTAATAGCTAATTAACCTCTGCATTGCAATTAATAGCTAATTAGCAGGCACTAATAATACGTGGGACCTGTGTGTGCCTCTGCTGCGGCACGTGTGAGTTAAACAGCTGCCTTAAGGGAGCGTTTTGCTGCGCGTAAGTAATAAGCATAGGGATTTTTTAGATGCTTCTTAATACCCTTGGTTTTTTGTTATTTTTAAATCCACGAAAAGTCTTTGCTCGCTGTTCCTTTGTGCTCCTGAACCCTGTCTGCTCGTGGCCATCCAAGTTCTTCTTTTCCAAGGTCTTATGTTACAAACACCCCACTTAACACTGCTGTGACCCCTTGGCCTTCAGGGTGGCCTCGGGGGTTTGTGTTGCTGCAAAACCTTCCCTCTGTAATCCCTGGTCTCCTCCTCACTGCCAAATGTTCAGTAAATTAATGTTTTTCTTCATATGTGTTTTTCTTCTGTGCTCGTAAGCAGGGAAAACTGACAAATTCGGGCCCTTGGGAAGAAGCTTTAACTTGTTTTTATGTAATATTAGGTGATTTTAGGCTTCTTAGGCTCCTGATGCCTGTTGCGTTCATTTGAAAGCAAAGGTATGTGCCCTTTGCTTCTTCCTTGAGTTGAGAATCTCGTGGATTGGTTGGCATGGTTTGGCTGTCACACACACATGATGTGTGTGACAGTGACCTTGAAGGACCCCATTCGAGGCAAAACGAATCTCAGAGCCCAGTCCCCAAAATATAAACATGAATATGGAAAACACAGGGTGGAAAAGAAATGTAGCAGCAGCTGAAAAATGCACCCTGGAAATCCAGAGTTCTAATTTTTATGGTCTTTATTTTCGTTCAGGATCCAGGGAATAATTTTGTTAAGGAAAGACTTTAGTTTTAAGACTTAAAGGTGGCATTTGAGCACTTCAATTTAGGCTTTTCTCAAACTGTGATTAACTATTTCTCTGTAGGATTTTCTTTCTGTTTAGGAAAAACAAGGCTTCACCCCCAAACAGCTGAAATCTGGGGGGTTTTCAGTAGTGTCCTGCGTGCAGGAGCTTTTACAGAGTTGTGCTCTTGCTCTGAGCTCAGCTGTGCAGATGATTTATTAGAGAAAGCAGGGTCAAAGGTCTGTTTTGGAGTTGGGGAGAGGAGGGGGAATTTCCCTACAGAATGGCAAAAGATGATTATAATTCCAGCTTGGCCTCTTATTTGCTTTTCCCTAGCTAAAATAAATAAAACTATTTTCATGCTTTCATTGCATAAATCAGAATTGCAGCTGAAATGTTGGACCATGTTAAATTCTGTTAAAAAACCAAAATTGACTTCTTAGAAGTCTGTCATTACTGAGAGTGAAGACAAGGATATCAGCAAAAATACAACCCGGTGTCGGGGTTTCTTCTTTTAAATAAAACTCTGTAGCTGGTCAGCGCAAGTGGTTCATGCTGGGTTAAGAAAGAAAAAGTCAGGAGCTAAATTTGACTTCCCTAAAGCGGAGCTTTGAGCTCCAAGGTCGTATCTGGTGTGCGACCTCTGCAAATATTAGTGGAGTGAGATTAGCAGTGGGGAAAGGAAGCACCAGGCTTGTGTTCCTTTAGTGAAGTTCCTTTGGAAAACTGTTCCAACCTTCATGCAGTAAAATAAGACAATTTCATCAAAGAACCCCCCAATTTGTGACAGAGTAGTGTTTGAGGGAAGACATTAATTCATAAACCATATCAGGCTAATTTGTGCATTGGGGTACAATCTGCTTTTGTGATTAATTATGAAATATTAATGCAATTACAGCCTTGAGATCCAGGAGTTTCATCTTGGATAGACATAGAGTGATCATTTTTTTTCTCCTTCAACCCTTCAGCAGCCTGTTGGAAGAAGTACCTCTCATCCCTTTGCTTTTGAAAGCCTTTGTAGTTTGGCTTGTGGAGTTTTGGTGATGAATGATGTTACGTTTCTCCAGCTCGCTTGGCTCTGGGAAGAGGGAAAATTCCTGTATCTTACAGATATAGGGATGCCAGAAAACCTCTCTTAAGGTCTGGTTATCCAGAGTTGGTTTTCTTGTGTTTCCCCGTGCTCATTAAATAATCCTGCTCTGACCAAAGGCTCTGGAGACACTTTGGAAGTCTGATGTGGAAAAAACAGACACTTTGCCACAAACCAAAACACAGTATTTAATAGCTGTATCCATCCACTGTTTATCCAGGACTGATCCAGACTGACTGTAGCAAGTGAAATCCATATTTTATGGCTTCTGGCCTCTTGGTAAGGACTAAAGCACTGTTATTTTCCTTTTGCTCCAAATGTCTTCCTTTTTTTCTGGATCCAGCTGTGCTGCACGCCCGCTGCTACTCTCACGGGTCACAAGAGTCAGATGAAGAATTCGATGCTCGCTGGGTGACGTATTTCAACAAGCCAGATATTGATGCCTGGGAGCTCAGGAAAGGTACGCTGGGGAAAAGGGAAGAGTAACCTGCAGTAAATGTAAGTTTGGTGACCAGAAATAACAACTTTACTTGGCCTTTTTGTGGACTCCCCATCCCTGGAAGTGTCTAAGGCCAGGTTGGATGGGGCTTCCAGCAGCCTGGTTTAGTGGAAGGTGGGTGGGCTAGGTGACATTTGAGGTCCCTTCCAACCCAAACCATTCCATGACTTTAACACTTGGATGGGAGGGAGAGAAACATTTGCTCCAAGAAAAGTGTACATAAGCTCAGTTTAGTGTGTAACCACACACATTTTTCTTTGGACTTTGACCCAGTGGCTTGGCCATAACTGACTGCAGGCTGTTGTCTGGTTGTCTCCAGTTGTTTGCTGTGGAGTTGCCAAGTTTTATTAAGCTTCCCCAATTAAGAATTAAAAATGTGTTTGCATAATCAGATAATTGCAGCCAGAGGGATTGTTCCAGCAGCACCTGGCTGGCTAGGTGTTGGGCTCTTCCCTTGGAAGGGAGAGGAAGGGAATAGAGAGCAAGGGGTTCCTTTTGGCAGCATGGCAAGCTGATTCCAAGTTCCTCTTGTTGTTTTCTTGTCTCTACAGGCATAAACACACTGGTGGGTTACGACCTGGTCCCAGAACCAAAAATCATCGACGCGGCTCTGAGGGCCTGCAGACGGTTAAATGACTTTGCCAGCACTGTCCGCATCCTAGAGGTTGTAAAGGTGGGTGGAACTGCTGTGTTTGCATTGCTAGAGCCCGGCAGCAGGACAGTTTCCCCTGACTTTTTCCTGCTGCAAGGGGAAACCACTCTTTCCTGCTGCTGTGATCAATGGCTGCATGATGAGCACAAAGCTTACTGGCTTCTTAAGGGATCAAGTGCTGAGCTGGCTGGGAGTAGTAACTCACAAAGCTGGGTAGGCCTGGAAAACACCTTAAACCTTGAAACTTGAATCCAGCCTTCCCAGGGAGTTAAGGGGAGCCAACCCTAGAAGCCAACAGTTCTGCTCTGCCACAAGCAGTGGCTGGTGTGGAGATTTTGGAGGCGTAAGACCAATAGAAGAATCTTTCTATGCTGAAATAACACCATTTGTCTTTTTGTTTAGGACAAGGCAGGACCTCACAAGGAAATCTATCCTTACGTTATCCAGGAGCTTAGACCAACTTTGAGTGAACTGGGAATCTCCACTCCAGAGGAACTGGGCCTGGACAAAGCATAAACTTTATTGGTAAGGGATGATGTTGCTTCCCAGACTCTTAGCATGGGACTACTGTACCCCAAAGCCCCTGGCAAAGGCAGAATATGGGCAAGACCTGACGTGCTCTAATCCCAGACTAAAATTAAGCCCTAAATAAAAATCCTCATGGAAGTGAAGCCTCTTAACTTGGTTTCTTCAGGAGATGACAAGTGTCACGTTCTTTTTTAAAATATTATGCTTAGAATAGAGATACCATGTGTCAGCCTGCTGCAAATAGTACTTAATTCTGGATCTTCTAAGTCCCTCCTCCTTGCCCTGGAATACAATGTCTTGGTGCTGGGGTGTACTGAAGCAGCTGTGCTGGGAATGCAGTACCTGCATTTTTGAGCTGAGGATGGTTAGATGGGGTTTTGAGGGTGAAAGGGATGGAAATAAACCATTTCAAACCTCGTGGAAACTTTGTGGAGATATTTGGCTGCTTCTTAAATGGCTTTTCTGGTTCTTTTTTTTTTTCCTGTTCTTTTTTGTTCCAGGTGCATTACTCAAGTGTTTTACTGATGCTACCTGATTGTACACAGTCACCTGGAGATACAAACCTTAAATCTTATCTGAAATAACT